TTCAAGGGCTAAAACATGTACGTTATACACATTTATCATATGTTCCATTTTGAGGTCACATAAAATAAAGATTATAATTAAAGTGTTTGATTTTTAAAAAAACTGTTTATAAAAGTTCTTTGAATGAAGATTGATTCCATAAAATGCTTTATCTGGTTTCTCATTTACTAGTGCTGGCTTTACATTTACCTGTAACCAAGATTTTGATGGTAGTTAATTACAGAACTGAAGTTATTGAAGAAGAAACATATAAATGAGCTTATGATATATGACATCATCCTTTTGTGTTCTTGTGTAGGAGAGATACCCTGCATTTATATACTTCCCTTCGTTAAACAACCCTATCTCATGTTTCCTTAGCTTTCCTGCAAGCACAGTTTCGTGTGTGACCTTTGACCCTGCACTAGTTTTAGATTTAGGTACCTCATGTCATCCCTCCCCCTACTGTCACCCCTCCCCTTAGCCACATCCCTGTAGAACTAATAAAAAATTCAAGTTCATAATCTCTGCATTTCATCGCAAACAGCTTTCTGAATTTACTGTTACATATTTCACCTTTCTCATGTTTATACAGGAATTTTTTTAAGATCCATGGACTAAATTCACTCCATAGAATATTTTTATGAATGTTTCACAATAGAGGTCAGATCTCTAGCATGGATGCTTCACTTGCCTTGGATCAAATATTGATATTTTCTCACATAGTTCTCACATATTTGAGTTTCCAAGAACACTAGATTTATTGGTTATTAATTTAGTTTCAAAGCAATTCTAGCTGAACAATATTGCATGATTAAACAGTGCAAAGAATGTTCTGATATGGAAAAGTTATGGAGAAATTAGTGTCCCCTTTTGGAATTTTCAGATTAAAATATAGGAACACAGTATATGTATTAGTATATTGCATCATCCCCTGTTCATGACATCAGAGAATATGCTATTATAATGTATGCATCAATTCTTGTTCCTGGCATCAGAAGCATGGCTACCGCTATCAGTGTGCTACTACCAGCTTAACTTATCTACTACTTAACAATATACAATGACATGGCATTACCAAAACTTGGTTGGGCTTGTATTTAACTAATAATTGTTTAACTTCCCTGAATAAAATACACCCCCCCCCCCCCCCCTGTATTTTTGAGTCATGTATTGGAGATGCTGGTGACACTGTTAAATATGTCAGGCATCATGCAGTCAGTTGTTACAATGGATTTACCAAGGATCCTACTACCTTGAACCTTTACATTCAATGTCATGTCACATTTCTTGCAATAAACTCTGACCTGTATTAGGATAAAGGCTTCCTTTGTATCTATTTATTATATGTACAGATTGATAGCAGTTTGTAAGCTCAGATGATCGAGAGTTACAGGTCTCTTGTTTTAGCGCAATGTAAAGAAAGAGTCACTCATTATCACAATTACCCGATACTGATGTGTATATTTGTAGTTCAAGATGGAAATTAAGATTGAATTTCCTATTAAAAATGTATCATATATTTTATTATATATAGTATAAAATCCCCAATGCTCCATATTACATTATTTTATAGAAAACCTTATATGTAGTAGCATTTTGCAATATTTAGAACCTATATATGATTTGACATGTTTGATTATATGATATGCTTAGGTAGAAAAGACAATCAATATTTTTGTATATCTATATATATTATATCTATATAAATATGTATCTCTTTATCAAAGACTATATATATGTATTGTATTCTAGGACTTAGCCTCTTTTGTTGTGTAGGAGGGTGTAGAAATAACTGAGCAGGCCACATTTCATCAAAAGCATTACTAATTGTCTCACAAAAATTAAAGCAACTGTTCACTTGCCAAAAAAAAAATAATCTTGCAAATTCACTGATTATCCATTTTAACTTTGAACTTTTTGGTTTTTCATGCGATGAATAGCGTTGCAGATTATGTGCTTGTTCACAAGTAAGAAATTTTCACTTTTTCTTTCTGCTTGATTGTCGCACACCATTTATATCTCTCCTCTTCTGGTTACCATGGAAACAAGCATGTGTTTTGACTTATAAGTTTTGTAACTGCAATGTACGTATTGCATGACTGTTTTTGAGAGCATGCACTTTCAGTCAATGCATGATTTACAGTATCTTTTATATGGTTGCAATATGTAATCATTTTATAAATGGACATTTAGTGAAAAGCTATATTTCACTGCAATACCAAACACAAAATGCCAGAAACTGGCAAAGGGCTTTTTAAAAAATAAATTAATTAATTTAAAAAAAACACATTTATTTGCAATCTATGAAAGATAAGATTTTAATTCCCTGCATGAATATTTGTTAGGAAAGTGTTTATTCACTATTTCCACCTTCCCTACACATTTCTTTGTAGTATGTCTGTACTTTCCTTTTATGGTTGAGTTTATTGTAGTAAAATATGATCAAATCGTCACTTTGTTTGTGCCCTGACATCACAATAGCCATCAGAAATTTCAGAGAAGAACAGAGTATAGGAAAGACCAGGAAATCTCTATTTAGTGTTTATGAAACCAATTGAAATAGTTCATCAAAAATTCTATTTTAAGATTCTACGAAGAAAAGGGAGGAAGTTGTTAGCACTAATGAGACTGTGGCACTTACCTGTATTTAATTGTGTCATTTTTACCTGGATTTAATTGTGTAGAGAACATTGATTAGGATGTTTATCTGGTTGTGTGGCATTGTTAATAGAATTAACACAAGGATTGGACGCTGAAGAACTGTTATCGCTAGAGGCCAGAGTCTCCAGTAGAGTGTCTCACACACCATTGATTGGAGACTTGATCATCCACAGATAGATCTCCTTACATCCTCACTGGAGGACCTCACTGTCCCTGTTAAACAGCTAAGGACCTCACTGTCCCTGTTAAACAGCTAAGGACCTCACTGTCCCTGTCAAACAGCCAAGGACCTCACTGTCCCTGTTAAACAGCTAAGGACCTCACTGTCCCTGTTAAACAGCTAAGGACCTCACTGTCCCTGTCAAACAGCCAAGGACCTCACTGTCCCTGTTAAACAGCTAAGGACCTCACTGTCCCTGTCAAATAACCAAGGACCTCACTGTCCCTGTCAAATAACCAAGGACCTCACTGTCCCTGTCAAACAGCCAAGGACCTCACTGTCCCTGTCAAACATAACATCCAAGGACCTCACTGTCCCTGTCAATCAACCAAGGACCCCACTGTCCCTGTCAAACATCCAAGGACCTCACTGTTCCTGTTAAACAGCTAAGGACCTCACTGTCCCTGTTAAACAGCCAAGGACCTCACTGTCCCTGTCAAACAGCCAAGGACCTCACTGTCCCTGTCAAACAACCAAGGACCTCACTGTCCCTGTCAAACAACCAAGGACCTCACTGTCCCTGTTAAACAGCTAAGGACTTCACTGTCCCTGTCAAACAGCCAAAGACCTCACTGTCCCTGTCAAACAACCAAGGACCTCACTGTCCATGTTAAACAACCAAGGACCTCACTGTCCATGTTAAACAAGACCCTACTCTCCCTGTCAAGCACTGTGATGGAATTACTGTTTTGTGACTTAATTGTAGAACATCTTTAATATTCTTCCATCAGTCCTAATATCTTCTGGTCAATGCCCACAAAATGAAAAGATAAACAAAATAGATAACTAAAAAAGAGCAAAAACAAATTATTAATGTATTAAACATATGACATTTAAATTAGGATGAGTGCAGAGGAACTTGGTAATTTTGTAAAGAATAAGTGTTGATGAATCTGCACTAAGATCGTGAATAAATGAGAAGTAAGAACTAAACAAATTGTCTTTAGGGGATATTTGTTTATTGCTTTGTGAAATATTGTGTGATAATTCAATATTCTGTTTCATTGCCATGCTGAAAGTATTGGTACTCGGGGGACTAATAACACAATAATCAGAGCTCTCGGTAATTTGATAACAGACAACTACAGACATTTTTGCTGTTTAAAAAATATACACCGAGTGTTACTTCCATGACACACCATTGTCAATTTTCACTGCTGAACAATTAGTGAGAGAAGCCAGGCTCTGAACTCACCTGACCTCCCTTAGATATATGGATTGTCTCCTTTTGATTTGTGTATGTAAAAAAATGTTGTGAACTAGGAAAGTCCCAGTGCAAGATTCTGGCACAATGGTTATACAGTAGACAGAAGTTGAGTGATGGTGAAATTTTACAGCACTGTGTTGAGATAACAATTATGGCTCCTGAGAGAATTCTCCTGCATCTTAAATTGATGAAAAGTTAAATAAACTGAAGAGTAGGTGAAGGTAAAAAATTAAAAAAAAAAAAAGCCCTTCATTGAAATACATGTAATTGCTTAGATCCAGCTGTCTTGGATAAAAAAAAACCCAATAGTTTCCAAGTGTTCTAAATTCTGCACATAACGTAGCACATTGCATCCACTTAAAACTTGCCTTAAAGCTCTTGAATCCATGGGTTTTATCTAAACAGTAATGATCTGAATTGAGTCTTTGTGCACTGCATTCAAATTAAAGTAGACCTTTAATACTAGAATAAAGAATTAGATAGTAATGAGTGAATTCACCAAAGCACTAAACTGAGTAGCAAAACAATAGAATCTCCCCTTCTCTCTCTCTCCTTCTCTCTCTCTGAGCTGTATTCCATTGTTCAGATTTTATTGTTGATGTGGTGGACATGGATTGTCTCTATATTTGGTACTGTTATCTTTGTCAATGTATCTTTTATCTAAACATTTTATTGGTGATGGCCATTTATTTTCCTTTTCCTTTATAAAGCTTTAGTCATGTACTTAATAGTTTCAATGTAAAAAAGTAAAAGTTTTTATTCGATCACTTCTTCTTTTTTTTTTACTCTTTGCTACTTTTCATTAATGAACAGTAAATATACTCACAATTTATTTTAATTTCCTTAATTCTAAGCATGTGATCTTGGTTTACAGACGTTTTATGTCTGCCTGACTTGACATCACCAGGTCTTTTTTTTTAATTTTTACAGAGCCATTGAGTATGGTGTTGACAGCGAGAACCTCAGTCTTTCAGCAATAAGAACCATTCGAGTTTTGCGTCCATTACGTGCTATAAATAGAATTCCAAGTAAGAAATAATTATGACTTTATTTGGGAAATCATTTGAACTTTTGTACTGTATGAATTCTTTGGTGATACTTGAATATGTAAAAGTCATTTTAAAACATCATCAAAATGTTGACATACTTCTAGTCCTTATTTCTATTTACTGTAAACAATAGCATTAAGTACTTTCAGGACTTTGATTAATAATTTAGTGTCTTCAGGGCATTTTCCCCAACAGTTTGGGAATGTAACCTATAGCACTGAGAAAAGGGTAATTTGTCAGCATTTTTTTAGCCAGTGGAATTTCAACACTTTAACTATTTCACTAATAGAATGACTAGAATACTGAAAATTTGAAAGTATAATGGGATTTCCCCCCCCCCCCCCCAAAAAAAAAAGTTATTAAGGCAAATATTCAATTTCAACTTGTTTTTCTATAGCTTTAATTGATTTTTCGACCTTGTAGGAAAACAGTAGATGGTCTATTGATTTGCTACATGTAACAATTGCATTTTCCAGGAAAAAATACCCATGACTTTCCTTTTGAAATTAATTTGATGTCCTATAATTTTGCTTTCAGAGAAGCAGAAAAAATGCCATTAGATTATTTTAGGAAGAAGATGTTATTTTCATTTCATTCAACATCATAATTGTGGATACGAAAAAAATAATACTAATTTTTTAAAATTTATTAAAAATATATAATCTATTGTTTTCATGTTGTACATAATCAAAGGCCTGAAAGTACTCTGTGGAAAAAAATAAACACCTTTATTGTATATTGTAAAAATTTAAAATATTCTCAGTGTTGATATCTTGTTTGTTTTGGTTTCAGGTACAGATGGTACCATCTGATTTGTTTTATTTACAGGTATATTGTATTTTTACACCTTGACCTACTTTACTTTGTCCCACAGGTATGCGGATCCTTGTGATGCTGCTGCTGGACACCCTACCTATGTTATGGAATGTCCTTCTGTTGTGTTTCTTTGTCTTCTTTATTTTTGGAATAATTGGAGTTCAGCTCTGGGCAGGAGTACTACGAAACAGGTGCTTCCTGGACGTTAGTGAAAATATTTCATATTCTTAGTAAGTATATCTCATTCCATTTATAGAAAAAAATATCTCAATGACATATTCCTAGTAAGCATAGTAAGTCTCAGTTAGTTAGTAATCATCATATCTGTAAATATATTCTTGAATGAACTGAAAAGATTTTTTTTCAATATACACAGGCCATGAGCAGCTTGCAGTTCAATTTCATGTGTTATATATCTTTTATTTTTTAGTATAATATACTATTTAATATTTACTCATTTAACTGTAAGCAGATCATTCTTATGAAAGGAAAATTGAGATGCAAAATAAATATCAAAGGGTTGATATGCCTAGAACCTCAATGTATTTATATTAATAAGAATAAAATTAATAGTCCTTGAATATATTGATTATGCCATCAAAGTCGTAGGAGAAACCTGAAGCCTAAAATTAAGTTGTATTAGGGTAGATTTATATTTAGGGACAGTAGACGCATGGTCTTTTGAAGGAATGATATAGGTCTGCTGATCTCTCATTTACGGACATTGATTCCTGCCATCTTTGACAGTCAGCTGACGTTTGCTTGATTCCATTGTCAAAATTTCCTGTTTAGCTACTTTGACTTAAGCTAATGAATTAAAGCAAAATATAGAGATTAGTTTTAGCTTATCTGTCTGAGGAGAAAGATCAGGCACATATATAACTTGTCATAAAAACTAGAGAAAAGATAAAGTATTGGCATTGAATTTATTTCCTACGCCTTTGATAATAAATTGATTTTCTTGTTTCTTGCAGTGCAAATCTTAGTCCATACTATGTCCCTAAGAAGATTGGTAGTATGCCCCAGGCAGACTACATTTGTAGTAAAACAGGGGAGTCGGGGATGAGATATTGCTCTGGACTGCCTCGGTTTGAGTATGAAGGCATTAAATGTAATGCCTCGGCTCGACCGTTCAGCAATAACACGCCCACAAACGACTCGTGTGTAAACTGGAACCAGTACTACACAAACTGCACGGCAGGCGATAAAAATCCGTTCCAGGGCGGAGTGTCGTTTGACAACATTGGACTTGCTTGGGTGGCCATATTTCAGGTACCAATTTGATTTGGGGTTTAAATAGGAGTTGCATTTTTACATCTCATACTTCCTAATTTTGCAGATACTACAGATTGATGAGCTAGATATGGATTTTTTTCACAACTTGAGAATAACATTTTCAGCTTTGTGAGATGATTTTCCCAGTTCATTAATTTCTTTGAGTTCTAGTATTCATGTATTGAAATAAGAACTGATATAGAAATTAAATACGGTATAGACAAACAAGTGTGAGTAAAACAAAACTTGTCTGCCAAATGTTCAAGTGTTTATCAGCAGTGTAGGTTTCCTGATCAATGACTTTATACCTAAATACAATTGATAATCAAAGGTTTTACAAAGATTTTGAATGGAAAATGCTATTAATGAGTTAATGAATAGGTTTTTCTTCTTGCTGCATTGGAACATTTTGTATTATCTATGTATTACAGCAGTTAATTAAAGTATTCTTATTCCTCAAAATCTAAAGCTTACATAATAATTATCTGCTTGTGATCCCACACAAAGCTTTAAAGAAATCTTGAACATGGGATTCTCGTGCTGAGGGAAGTGATTTACATGAGAATCTTGCCGGTTGATTAATAGGAGAGCTTGACAGTAACTCTTAAGATTTCAATGATAAATGACAGTTCCTCAAAGAACAGTGGCAAGAAGACACCATTTTCATGACTGAATACCACTTGTGAATCAAAGTTTTACGGTCTGTAGGGGGAACTTCATGACTAGAAATTCCCACAAGGAGAATTTGATCAATTGTTCTCTGATAATTTGTCAGTAACAGTGATAATAGCCCAGATTCTCAGAATCTCTGATTTTACATAGAAAGTCTTACTGGTCCTTTTATAAGCCTTTGTTACGCTTGTGTATACTCTGCACTGGTCCTTTACTAGTATAATGCAAGTAACTATCTGGAAGTAAGCATGTTCAGAACATCAGATATAAGACTTAAAAAATTAAAATCACAGGACCACCATTTTGAAATTTCCATTAAAATGATCTGTGGCTTTCAGCTTTAAAATGATTTGTCTAGGGTACGTATTGGCCTATGATTTTATTTTTATATTGAAGTAAGATGATATTCTGGATAAAAGATCATTTAGACAGTATAAATGGCATTTGCCTGATAGCTTCTACTGCAGACTTCTACCGGAGACATCAGACAGGGATAGGTGAAGGTCACAGCTTAGGACAGTAATGTCATAGGAATTGTGACTAAGCAAATGATACAAAATCAAGTCCCATTTGTCTTCTGTGGAATATGCTTGAAAATAATGGAGGAAAAAGACAAAAACTGATTATACTGGCTACATTGAGTACAAGTACGAAATGAATCTGATGGATAAAAGATGGAGATTGCCAATTTTGGATTGATAAAAACCATGGATATGCAAGGAAGCTAAATTAAAAAAAAAAAAAAAAACGGGAATGTAGGGCAGTGATCTCCTGTACATTACAGTTTGTCAATCTTTGAATGGTTATGACAGATTGACTGGTATCACATGAAGGTTTGATCAAGTTAACAAAGAGCATAAGAGGTTGAAGAATTGATTCCATCAATACTTAAACTGACAGGTTTACAGCTTAAAGTAAACATAAACCTAAAGAAACAATAGCTGCATGCATATTAAACATTTCTCAGCGGTGTTTGTAATAAAGCAGGGAATCTATGAAGGGTATCTGCTGGCTGGTTTGTAATCATTGGTCCATTTCGCTGGAACTCTTTGGGTCATGTTTGATCAATAAACTGAACACTGATGACTCAACAGGATGGCAAGCTCATTGAAATTAGGTCACAGTTCTTAACCTTGACCTCTAAATATTGCCAGAAGTAGGAATTCAAACAAATGTTCAGGATGACAATATCCTGATATGACAAGAAAATCATTAAATTAAATTTGGTTTAAAATAATAGTTTTTTTTCCTTGAACAGAAATAGATACATAGATTAATTAGAAACATGTGCACAGGTGGGGACAAGATTAACGTGTTGATTGAGATCAAAAAGTTCCTATTTCCTTTTGGAAATGTGATTCTGAAATTTTGCAAGTATGACATATATGTAATTCAATAAACTAGATCTTGTAGCACTTTCCAAAGAATCATTCATTTAAACTTTATTGTGTAATAAATACTTGAAAACTAGGCACAAAATATACAGTAAAACTTGTCTAATCAAGAAGTTATGTATTCTGAAAGCTCTAATTAATATGACTATAATACCTGTGTTTATGACCTGACTCTGATATGACTATAATACCAGTGTTTATGATCTGACTCTGATATGACTATAATACCTGTGTTTATGACCTATACCTGATATGACTGTAATACCTGTGTTTATGACCTGTATCTGATATGACTATAATACCTGTGTTAATTACCTGGCTCTGATATGACTATAATACCTGTGTTTATGACCTGACTCTGATATGACTATAATACTTGTGTTTATGACCTGTATCTGATATGACTATAATACCTGTGTTAATTACCTGGCTCTGATATGACTATAATACCTGTGTTTAATACCTGGTTCTGATATGACTATAATACTTGTGTTTATGACCTGTATCTGATATGACTATAATACCTGTGTTTATGACCTGACTCTGATATGACTATAATACTTGTGTTTATGACCTGTATCTGATACGACTATAATACCTGTGTTTATGACCTGACTCTGATATGACTATAATACCTGTGTTTATGACCTGTATCTGATATGACTATAATACCTGTATTTATGACCTGTATCTGATATGACTATAATACCTGTGTTTATGACCTGTATCTGATATGACTATTTACCTGTGTTTATGACATGGGTCTGGCATGACTAAAATATCTGTGTTTATTGCCTGGGTCTGAATATGACTATATTGTGTGTCTATTACTAGCATCTCATATGAATATTACCTGTGTTTATTGCTTGTATCTGATTTAACTATTACATGTTTATATAATCTGCCTCTTATATGACTATTACATGTGTTTATTACCTGTATCTGCTAATCTGCTATGAGTATAACCTGTTTTTATTATCAATATCTGTTATGACTATTATCTGTTTCCGATAATTAATTAATTCTCTTAATTACAGGTAATTAGTCTGGAGAGTTGGGTTAACATTATGTACTACGTGCAGGATGCTCATTCTTTTTGGGACTGGATCTACTTTGTTGCTTTAATTGTGGTGAGTATTGGCTACTACCCTGTCTGTTTGTCTGTACTATCTACATACATTCACAAGAGGACAGTTTATTGTGGTCAGTATTTAGTACTGCATTGTCTGTTTGTCAGTACTATCTACATACATTTACAATAGGACAGTGTATTGTGGTCAGTATTCAGTACTGCATTGTCTGCTATTCTGTACTATCTACATACATTTACAAGAGGACAGTGTATTGTGGTCAGTGTTCATATGACTGTCGAGGCAAGACTCTTACATCAGTGCCAAAGATATCTGAAACTCTTCTCAAAATGCTGATCCTCACAAATCATATTCTAAATTTCAAAAAATAAGATAAAAAAATGTATTGCAATATCATAATTATGTGTTTGAACTTGGAGTGGGAAAAACAGAGTTTAAGTATTTAGTATGAAATATTGGAGAAAGCATTAGAAATAAGATGCGCTTTGATTGATCCCGTGGTGGTTGTCAGATGACAACTACGTCATTCGCTACCTGGAAACGCTTCAAATTCATTCACTGGTTCCAATTTAATGCTATCACAAGCACAGTCTCTTACGTCAATGATCAGGGAATGTCCTTGGCTTTTTACTGAAGATTGAAAAATTGTTCAAAAAACACTGAAATTATGTAAAAGTTTCAGTTGGTGGGTTTTGTTTTCAAGAAAAAGATCCTTGATTCATTCTTACTAGCCTTATTATTAATTCTGACAGAGAATACACAGAAAAGAGTTCACCAAGTGTCACTATTACCCGTTATTATACACAGAAAAGAGTTCACCCATTGTCACCATTACCCGTTATCATGTACTTAGGGATTTTGATAAAGATGATGTTTATCATTGATTTTTTTTTATACAATTATCAGCGCGTAATTGTAGGGTTGGTAGATCTGTAATTAGCGATATTGATTATGTCGTTAATACATGAAGATACATGGGATAAGAGACCAGTCACACTTTGTTATCTAATGGACTGTTGACAGAAGCTAATGTCAACCTCAACAACATCACTTCCTGTTCGTTAATTGTGGGTCTCTTAAAAGTATCGTACTATTTACACTGTAGCAAAAAACATACGTAAGAGTGGACAGCATGCAGACAAAAATGTAATCAATTAACAGGAACGGTTCTAACACTGAAAATCAGGCTGGGATATCTAGGATATTTACATAGTAAAGGCTCATGAAATTTCACTGTATAAAATTGCTTATTCAGGGCTTATTTGGAATTTATGTTTTAATTATGAATTCAATTTCCTTGAAACTAAAGAAAGATGAGAATTAAATAAGTCATTTTCATCTGAATGCTTTACTTTAACCTGTTGAGGTATTTATTTGCTTTGGATTTTTTTCATATCTTAGCTGCTTTGATTTAAAATTCAGAAATAAATTTATCCAGATCGCTGATAAAGATTTTGTAGAATTGACATGAAAGATCATGGAAGAGAACTACATGTAAATGCAGTTAAATAAATAAAAGAAAGAAATCTTATAGGAACTTGTCAAATGATTTCAAGGAAGATCAGGTGAATTATTTTAAATTTGAATGTTCTTATTCTGTTTTTTTTTTTTAGATTGGATCATTTTTCATGATAAACCTGTGTCTGGTAGTCATAGCAACACAATTCTCAGAGACAAAGAAGAGAGAGACAGAAAGAATGATGCAGGAGAGAAAGCGATTTCAATCCTCTAGTACCCTGGCCAGTAACTCGGAGCCGGGAGGGTGTTACGCAGAAATCCTCAAATATTTAGCTCACTGTTGGCGTCGTGCCAAACGAAAAGTGCTCAGAGCCTATTACAATGCTAGAGGCAAAACCCACAAGAATAGGAAGGTTAAACCTGAACTGTCACTGCGACGCAAACGACACAAAGGTACTTCCTCTTCCTGTTCCCACAAACGACCCCAGAGTCGTTCCTCCTGCCCCTCCTGTAGGTACAACTACTACTACCAGCTCATCAGTGCCAATGAAAATCTCTACAACCCTCCAGATGAGTCGCGCCACAACAGTGTCAGGAATCTTCGTAGAAACAGTAGCCCCTTGGCCCCCCGAGCTAGCCCCGAAATGTCAGACCTGGAGTCTGTTTCTTCTCCCCGGCGCTCTAACTTTCTGACTGTGCCTAATTCTCTCCACCCTGCCTCTTTTGACTCCCTGCACTCTCTTTCTATAAGCAGCACTTCTGATAATCTCTCCTCCTCACTGCCAAAATATCGTGGCTCTTCTAATCACCTGGCTGCTCCATCACCGCATGCAAGCATTAGTAGGGCTTCTTCCTTCAATAGTTCTAGTCGCCGACATCTGCCCTCCCTGCCAGAGTCTCTATCTATGCATCAAGTGGGCTGCCCCGCCCATCAGGTGGGCTGCCCCACCCATGGTTCGTGTCATAAGCTAGCGACCAACTCGCTGCTCCATGTGGATAGTGGTAGTCGTGTTAGGATTCGTCATGCTAGCACTAGGTCTGGTGAGTAACCCAGTGTAGTGACGCATGCTGCTTTTTTCCTCTGTGTTTAGCCTCATTCTAGAGCTTGCTTAGTTACTGTTGTTGCTATAATTATGTCTTTGTACTGTAGATTGCTTGTTGGTAGAAATTTTTGTCTGCATGTGATAATGTGTGTTTGCTGTTTTCTATTTATATTGTAAATTATTAAGTTTGTTAAATATTGGCTCAATATTTTTTAGGTAGACCCTTGTGAACATATTGTGAAAAGATTACATATATTCTAGAACCAGATAAAACTGATAAGCATATGTTTTGATAGTACTGAACAACGATAGCCTTTGTTGGAATATCAGTACATAGGCCCAGTCCTGGTTTGGACCCAGTGCACAAGATAATGAATGTGTGTCTGCTGCTGGATAAATTACAACATCATTGTTGACAGAACTCCAGAAATGGAACCACTCAGCTACCTAAGCAAACAAGTTTCCTGACATTGTTATGTAATGTGGAGATTTCATTGACATTTTAAAATCAATTTGTATGCCTCTGTCCAATGAAATCCAGGAATTTATAAATAGGTTGAGATCTCGGGATGATAAGGTTTGAGAATGGGACAAACTGCCGGGTTTTTACTTAGTCGTTTATACAGAAAAAGTCCAGTAATGACTCATTATACCGCAAGATTTATTAATAATCAATTACAATACACATGTATGGAAAATCGATTTCAATACTTTGAATTTTTATAATGATTATGAACTCTTTGTTTCATCCAATTTGGTTCCAAGTTGCTCTGCCAGAGAATTGCTTGCTTTTTGATAGCATGCTTGTCTGTACTGTGTAAGAATTGTTTGGGTTTTTTTCTTTTTGGGTTACATGCTTGTTTGTACTGTGTATAAGAATTGTTTGGGTTTTCTCTTTTTGTTTGCATGCTTTTATGTAACATGTATAAGCTGTATCAGTCTGTCATACATTTTCCTAAGCTTCCTATGGTCCATTCTTTGTATGTTCTTTTTTCCCATGATGCCCCCTCCCTGCCCCTCTCTCTCTCCTCGGACAGTTAGTCAAAGGTTGTAAGTACCTGATGCAGTTTACCTGACTAAACCCCCATCCCTTTTAAAGGTTCTTTTCAGATTTCTAAAACTATTTGTTGTATTACATATTTCTAGATAAATTTCATACAAATGTTAGACCTTTTTTTTTCCTTGAATTTTTTGTTTCATTCATTGTATTGTATATTTTGATTCTAATATATTTTTCTCAAAGTTGAAAACAGCAATGTGATATTAAACATGAATAAAATGTTGCTTTTGATAGAGATTCCTGAGGATCTATTAGAAGCCATTAATGACAAACAGATTCAGAATCTGGTGAATAGCATAGAGAAACAAGGGGGTGGTCCTCGATGTCATCATGTGACACACGATGTTCCCGAGTCTGAGGACTCTGAGTCCAAAGACTCGCACAACGAACCAAAAACAAGTAAGCTCATAAACAATTACTAAACAAAATAAAGAAGGATTTAAGTTTAAAGCTAATTATAATTAAAAAATAAATGGTCTAGGAATGTATCCTTCATGTTGTCATGGAAATGGAACAAAGGTGCAGTCTAAAAAATGAGTGAAAAATTAAGAAATTTTTGAAAGATGGTGGAGGCAGATTTATTCATCGATGAAGAGTTCAGCTAGGAAATGTCAGAGCTTTTATAGCGTCCCCCAGAAACTGAGTAATGGAGCACGGATGTGTGGTCTCTCCGAGTCTTGGGGGCATTGGTATTTTGTAGATTTGTGTCTCCTGTATAACTGTGTGCTGGCTTGCTACATTAAATATGTATGGAATATTAGCCGTAATAGAATATTGGTAAAAATTGACGCCAGCTATAAATCAATTACTTTGCTTAGTTAACTGATTATATAGTCGACTTGTGTTGGTGGCTACATCCATATCAACACCAATTTCTACTGCTTAAAAGCCTTAGGGTCTATATTTAGTATTTAGTGGATATCTATCTAATTTAGGGTAATAAAGCTTGCTAAAATAATCTAAAGTAGTAATGAAGTATGTATGAAGCTATTTTAAGAAGGTGTGTATTGAGTTCAAGGGGATTGAACTTGAATGCTTTATAGCAAGAATTTTTTCTCAAAATATGAATATTTCAGAGCTCTCCTAAGACTGTATTTTAATTAGCCACCAGAAGAAACTTTACCTCTTCTGTAAATACAATTAGACCTACGTGTATTGGATAAGAGGAAAATAAAAGTTTATTAAAATAAATAGACATCCACCATTTTGAAGAGATGACATTTCATTCTTTTGTTTTAAATTATTATTATCATGAAATGAATCTGTATTGACCTGTCACTATTAGTTTAACTGAGTATTTTCTATTTCATCAAAATGTTTCTAGTCTACTTTATATGTAACTCAAATAGCCTGGGCCCCAATTTACAAATTAACTAAGACCAAAATCGAGATGTACCAGATTCTAAAATCTTAAAGAATTTATTTTTCTGTTAAAGCTTAATACAAAAAAAATCTTTCAATTTTGTTTTTCGATTATCATTTTCAAATTAATGTAAGGAAGAGTAACATTTGGTCCTGGTTGTAAAATATTTTGTAAAATGGACTACAGGTCTTTTTGTTGATTTCTATACTCCCAGTAATGTGCTGTAGTTTGTGGCATGCTTGCAGCTTGTAAAAAGAACTTCCAGCAGGGAATGAAGACCTTTGTGGAACACAGATTTTTCCGTCAAGGGATTCTGACAGCTATTCTGATCAACACCCTTAGTATGGGCATAGAATATCACAACCAGGTAAAGGAAAGCTATTGTATTTAACACCCTTAGTATGGGCATAGAATATCACAACTAGGTAAATGAAAGCTATTGTATTTAACACCCTTAGTATGGGCATAGAATATCACAACTAGGTAAATGAAAGCTATTGTATTTAACACCCTTAGTATGGGCAAAGAATACCACAACCAGGACAGTTTAACAAATCTGTATGGGCATAGAATACTAGAAGGTCAGTAATAGCTGTTCTATTTAACACCCTCAGAATGGGCATTGAATACTGGGTCACAAACCTAGTAAAATGCAGCTTTTCTATTTGACACCCTCTGTGTCAGCATAGGAAAGTAACAGGGGTTCTATTTAACACCCTTAGAATGGGCATCTATATAACACTCTCTGTATGGGCATAGAATACTACAAGGTAATTACAAGCTGTTCTATATAACACCCTCTGTATGGGCATAGAATACTACAAGGTAATTACAAGCAGTTCAATATAACACTCTCTGTATGGGCATAAAATACTACAAGGTATAAAAAAAATACATGAAGATAAAATAAAGATGATATTATTGTTGTTTCAGCCTGAAGAACTAACAGAAGCCCTTGAGTACAGTAATTTGGTTTTCTCTATTCTTTTTGCCGTGGAAATGTTTTTCAAACTTTGTGCTTATGGATTTGTTGGCTATATTCAAGATGGATTCAATGTCTTTGATGGATTTATTGTAATTCTAAGGTACAGTGATAGAAAACTATTTATTTACATTATTTCTTTTTTTAGATCAATTAATTCTGGTAAACTAGTTTGATAAAAATACAACAGATTTGGGTATTGTAAACTTTGCTAGTCATCCAAAATATTTTCTCTTTCTAGCAAAGATTGAAAAAATTATGTCTGACAAATGAAAGAATTTGAATGAATTGATTTAAGTACTTTCAGATCTTTGATTAATTTTGAATGGGTGATGATGAATTTTTTTTCCAGTATGGTTGAATTAACACAGCAAGGAGGAGCTAGTGGTCTATCCGTTTTAAGAACTTTCAGGTTGCTACGGATACTGAAGCTTGTCCGTTTCCTGCCAGCACTCCGCAGACAGCTTGTGGTCATGCTTAGGACAATGGATAACGTTGCCACCTTCTTTGCCTTATTAGTTTTATTTATTTTTATATTTAGGTGAGTCTTTCTTAATTTGTTTATTTAATTTTTAAAGTTAATTGATTGGTCTATAATTAGTATCATCAGTAATTTTCAGATTTCCTATTGTTAACTATAGATACAGGTCAGAAACAGTGAAGTTAATGAATATTTCTGTATTATATTTTTTTAATTAACATCATATTTTTAATGGATGAATGTAAAGTTTGTAATTGGTTCATTTGGCAATGAACAACCTGCATATGACAATATTTTTACAAGGAAAAGCAGAACATCTGAAACAAGGATATTGTGCAAAGGTTAAATGATTAATTGCTATTTTTCTGTAGCATTCTGGGAATGAACTTATTTGGCTGTAAGTTCTGTAAAACAAAGCCAGATGGGTCCCGATATTGTAACCGCAAGAATTTTGATTCCCTTCTCTGGGCAATTATAACGGTGTTCCAGGTATAAGCAACAGCTAGTCAGAGTAGTAGCAATGTCATTGGTTGGTGTGGTTTGGCCTTACATGTAAAACAGACAGTCGTTGTACGTCATAACAATCATCCAGTAACTAACACGCACGATCTGGTCGGCCAGTGGTAGAATGTATGATTGTCTTCATCTGTCATTCAAAATATTCAGTTACCTTTAATAGTTGTAACCGAATTCTTTTGTATGGATCTTCACTAGTTATGTTATTGACATTGAAAAAAAAAACTTGCTGCATTTAATTAGATTAGTTGAATGAAGTTTGTTGTAAATGACATAATCAATATTGATGTTTTGGTTCTCAGTAACAGTTTGAATGCAACTCAGTTAATTCATCATTATTATCATCATTATTAATGTGGAATAATTGCATGCTGTTCAAATCTACTTCAAAACATGAGATAATGTATCTTAAAATATTCTACTCGATGCGCCACCATTTCAACTCCTCTGCTTTTGTTTGAATTTTGTTTTGTTGATTTTGTTCAGTTAAAAGCAACCCTTGCACCAAGTACTTTAACCTAACATTTTGAGCACCATTTTGTTTAATATTGTGTTGTTACAATCACCATAGTAACCACTGTGAGGTAATACAAATGGGACCCTCATGTGACCTACCCATATTATTTAATTTTGATTTGAGTTGCCTGAGCTATTGGATAGAGATGGAACACAAACACAGGAAAGACCCAGACATGCACTCAGCTTTTGTTTTAACCCTGTCATGACGCAATCATTCTGGCAGAGAATTACTATCAGTGCCTCTGTATACTATATTTGGCTCTATCTCAAAAAAAAATGACATACAACCAGGGTTGTTTTAGTAGAAAAGTTCATTAAAACATCACCATAACAACATGGCATTGAAGTTCTCAGCTGTTGCTAAATATATATGCCCCCAAACAGTTATATAGCCGTTGTACATTGACCACAATTATTAGAGTTTATGTGACAAGAGTCCTTTTGTAAATCATGTTGTCATGACAACACCTTGAGGGTTGTCCATGGTAACAGATTTACAAAGGTCAACCATCATGTTGCTATCTGTGGCTTTTTGTGTTTTGTGCATGTGACAGTGTACTGGGCATGAATCTGTTTGGTGGCAAATTTTGTTGGCGTGGCAATGGTACGCTCTGCACATGTTTGGATGCCCTTGACCCTACAATGGACTGCCAGTGTGAGAGGGCCAATTTTAACACTCTGTTATGGTCAGTGGTAACAGTTTTCCAGGTAATGTATTATTTCCTTTACTTGGTCAGTGCATTAGCATTGATGCCACGCAGGTGTGACCAAGTTCTGCACAACCTTATGTTACCATTGAAGAGTTTACACACTTCTTTTTATTACTTAAAACATTTTTACCTTTTTCAAAAAAAGAGTCTGTCCTATATTCAACCATACTTTTCAAAACCATGCATAACAGCACATAAACATCATGATCCAATGAAAATCATTGAAAGTATTGATCTTCATTACTCAAATAACAGAAATTAATCATTTTTAATACAAGAGATCAGAAAATATAACTGAGGGACCAACAATGCAATTAAAACAGAATTAAAACAGATCTCTGTACTGCCATGGCTGACAAGAATCCTGGGTCTGGGGAAAAAACTTATTGATGCATAAGTTCTCCAGTGTTTTGGAAGTTTCTGTTGTAAATAGCAGTACTTAGGGAGTTTCATAATTATCCAATAGCAACATGAGGAGCTTTAAACATTGATTTGTTCCTAACATCGACTCCAACTAACCCTCACCCTGCCAGTATCAAACCACAAACTATAGGTCCAAAGCTCACTAAAAGTCAACTGTCAAAAACGGCTTTAAATCACACTGAATTTAGAAATGTTTTACAAAGAATTATGAGATGCTGTTTATCTTTTAAGTTTTTGGAGGTTGACATTTAGCTGAGATTGCCTCCCTTGAGTTCTATACCTCTTTTATCCTGCCCTGTCACTAACAGAAAATATTGTGTTCAGAATTAGGACATAAATGACAACCTTAAGGCCAGACTTATATGTTCACTAATTGACATTAATAATTATAAGACTTCAATCCTTGCATTTGACTTTTTGAAACATTTTTTTTTTCTAAATAGATTTTTGTTGACAAGATAATTAAACAAGCTGGAAAAGAAAGACATGTTAAAAGAAGAAAATGTCTAATAGTGGTATATTAGTTTGGCCTTAAACTATTAACATATATAACCATGGGAACATCTCTGGTAATTAACTGTAGAAAGCTTCAAGTAGTTGATTTCACCATATGATTTATGTTATCCAGAAGTTAGAATAATGATTAATTATATTTAGTAACAGATATATCTTAAATTTTATTACCAGTAAAAAAATAATTTAAAAAATGAAACTTTTTGATCATCATTTTGAGATTAGAATGTTATTAACCTTAAACTCTGTGACATTTGGATGTAAATCTGTTGATCTGATTGGTCATTTCCTTTAACATGTGACTTAAAGTGCTAATTCTGATAGGTCACTTCCTATGAAATATGATACAACTATAAATTTGATTGGTAGGTGCTAACACAGGAGGACTGGAACACGGTTCTTTACAATGGCATGCAGACAACTTCTGCGTGGGCCTCTCTGTACTTCATAGCCCTGATGACCTTGGGAAACTATGTACTGTTTAACCTCTTAGTCGCCATATTGGTGGAAGGATTTTCAACAGAGGTAAAAATAGAGCAAAAACAAGGAGGCTCAGATAATTAAAAGTTCAAACATCATTTCTATAAAATATTAAAAAAAAGTGAAGAATCCAAAAGAATGGTGGAGCCTGGATATGATATAGTAGAGTTATATAATACCAGTGTTTAATTGTGTTGTTTAGGAAGAAGAAAAGAAAAAAATGAAGTTAGAAAACAAAGAAAAAGAGCTTCAGAGCATTTTGTCAGAAACCAACAATAATGAGGAGAAAAATGAGAGCATCAAACTAAAGAGTCTGGATATCGTTCAAGGCAAAATTAACAACACAGAGCGAGGTAAGGGGAGGTTACTCTAACTGTCTGCTGATAAATAAAAATTACTCGCAAAGAAAATGACTAACATTGAAGTTTAGAGCCAAAATAACTAGAAAACAAGATAGTAGTTCTCAAGCTGTCATGTTGGATAAAATGATATAGATGTAAATGTCACTTCATTACAATTGATATTATATAACAGAACAATCTTTCCATTAAATAACCATAATAAAAGTAATTTGTTGTTTCAGCCAAAATGCTGGGTGTAGCCTGCCAAAATCCCACTGTTAAAGATGACAATGCCAAGACCAGCCCCCCAACCACCACCCAGCCTGACCTGAACCCCCCAATCATCACACACACAGCTGCCACACCCATGCCAACACCCCAAGGATCCCCCAATGAACATGGCCCAAAGGAGTGCAATAAAGTCACCCTGTGTGTCCATCCCCCGGTAGAAATGAGTACGCTGTCTGTGAGGTCATCTTCTGTAAGTTTCTCCATGTAGAGAATGTACGCCACACACAACATCAGTTACCAGAATGTACACCACACACAACATCAGTTACAAGAATGTACACCACACACCACATCAGTTACAAGAATGTATACCACACACAACATCAGTTACCAGAATGTACACCACACACAACATCAGTTACCAGAATGTACACCACACACAATATCAGTTACCAGAATGTACACCACACACAATATCAGTTACAAGAATGTACACCACACACCACATCAGTTATAAGAATGTACACCACACACAACATCAGTTACCAGAATGTACACCACACGCCACATCAGTTACAAGAATGTACACCACACACAACATCAGTTATGAGAATGTACACCACACACAACATCAGTTACCCATCACATCAGTTACCAGAATGTACACCACACACAACACCAGTTACCAGAATGTACACTACACATCACATTCTGTACACCACACACAACATCAGTTACAAGAATGTAGGGGTGGGGGGTCAACAAATTTTCAAGAATGTACACCACACACAACATCAGTTACGACAATGTACACCACACATAACATCAGTTACGACAATGTACACCACAGTACACCACACATAACATCAGTTACGACAATGTACACCACACACAACATCAGTTACCAGAATGTACACCACACATAACATCAGTTACCAGAATGTATACATGAAATGCTTAAAAATTTGATACAAGTAAACTCTTAAGGAGGCTGGGGGGTCAACAAATTAACCATCAGATATAACTTAATTTTTTAGATATGATATCTTAAGCTGTCAACTATCATTTGGCAAACAAAAATTTCATACATTTTAGTTTTAAAATTTGATCATTTTTGTATATCTTTATATGGAGCTCTTCTTCTAAAGGAGATCAATATAGTCTGAAAATGGCCACAACCACCCAACCGTCTTAAAGTAGGCAAAATTAGTTGATTATCATATAGAAGATAGTTTAAATTTCAATCACTTCATCATAATTTTTTTCTTTACAGACAAATTCCAGCTTACGAGCATCCCCACGTCTTTCACCTCGCCTCTCCCCACGAATTTCTCCAAGACCATCACCTTGCCTTTCTCCATGCCTTCGTAGATCTTTAAGTTCTGGTAGCCGTAGCAACAGCTGGAGGAGAGGTCGTTCACAGGATGGGGACAGGAAGTGCCTTGTTCCCGAGTGTAAGATTGACAGCATGGATACTGACGATGACGAAGTCTTTCAACTGACTTGTCCGTCACCGACTGTAAATAGGTCAGTCTAAAATTGTCACTGATACACTGTAAATAGGTCAGTCTAAAATTGTCACTGATACACTGTAAATAGGTCAGTCTAAAATTGTCACTGATAGAATAATTATGTCAGATTGTTTGAATATTATTGTGTTGAGAACTATTGTTTTAATCAGGATGGACTCATGGTTCCTGCTAAATATACATATAATTTCTTCTAGAACCCATAAATTTTGAAGAACCTGTTTTTGCAGGCACATCTAATATGCACAAATGAGTCATGTTAAGAGGGCTTTTTTCCATTATCAAAGAAAGATAAATGTATTGTAATGACAGCTATCACATTGCTTCAGCAGGAAAAAATGTTTTAAGTTTTTTTTTTGTATCTGTGATCACTATGGATTTGACTAGTGATACTGAGTTTGGTGGCCGTATAATTGATGAATCAGTGCCGTGTAGATGATGAAGGAGTTACTGTGTACGATTTTCTAAGTGCATTTGTCATTGATTCTATCATACGTCTCTAGCTCGTAATGTCCCACTTCAAAACGCGGCTGCATGATTTGCTGAAGATATTGCATAACAATCTCTGTATGTAACAGGGTTTGAAGTTGGACTTAATTATTTCTTCCATCATTATATCCTGGCAGCTGATATAAAACAAACCAAATAAAGAGTTATTGAGGATAGAAGCAAATAATGACTGGACCAGCACAGTCTGTTACAATATATCACAAAAATACATATCAGCTGATGATCCAATGAGTGCAGATTTATAGGAATGCAAAACTAATATCTGTAAAAAAAAAAAAAAAATCCTTTTCTTTGGTAATATGGTAGTCGGAATGGAGTAGCAAACTGTCTGCTAAAGTGTGCAAAATCCAAATCCTAAAACAATTTAAATGTCCTTCAATATTTATATCTTATAGCATGCAGTCTAGAGAAAGTAGGGATATTTCGAAGAAAAGTTATCCCTTATGAAAAACAAATTTTTACTTTCTTATGGACATACCGTATATACTCACCTATAAGTCGGTTGTATTTTTGAAGCTTCAATTAGAGGGATTGACCCACTAAAATACCAACCATATAACTCGCGTATAAGTCAGATAAAGAGTTTTGGACCAAAGTTTAACTCCCAAAAAACCAACTTACAGGCGAGGAATATATGGTATGTCATGTTTTGAAGGAGGAGTTAAACTCCTTCACTTTGCTTAGAATCCTGATGTTTGTCTCCTTACAGATTAATATCTAAAATTGCATTTCCTTTTCGATATTGTCTGAAAACTACATTTCTTTATTTACAGAAATGAATGTAATGGCCACCTCCCCCTGAACAATCAGAGGACTCTAAGCCCCCAGAATTCTATCAAACGGCCAGTCCCATCCCCGAGGAACTCCTTCAAGACCCGCAACAATTCCTGTAGCAGCACACAGAGCAACTGTAACTCCATCCTCCTCAGTCGACAAAACTCCTTCAACAGCAGACGTACGCTCAACTCGCTGTCCTCAATGAGTGCAGTACTCAAGGAGGAGGTCAAACAGAATAACCTGACAGAGGGCACCACCTCTCCCACCCAGGTGGAGGTCAGTCTGACTGGAGTAGAGGGAGAAGAGGACCCTGATGCTATAGACGAGACGGTCAGTGACTCAAAATTTGTTGTAAAAAAGTCATATTGAAAAAAAGCCAATGAAATTTTTTTTAAAACTTCAAACCTAAAGTGTACTGTTGATTGCTTCTTTTACATGAGTACTTGATATCATGTAATGACTCATACACATCATATTGAGAGAACAGGGCTATTTTCAAGATCATAGCAGCTATGTAGCTCTGTGTAGCCACTGTGATCTTGAATGATATGCTAACCTAGCCATTACAAAGTTAATTCATACGTTACGTTCAATATGACCTAGATATCTAGCCTAGCAGCTAGGCTAGCTGCTAAAATGCAGCCCAGCAATTCCTGAGTGGAGTACATAGATCAAGAGTTTTTAAATTGATTTCAGCAATGTTAAAATAAAAGCTAAAAATCTTATTATCTAAGAAGTGCTCCTCACAAAATTGCACAATAATAAATTAAAATTCAGTGCCTTATAATTATTTAGTAATCAGCAGTATTATAATAGTTCTCTGTTTGCTGTCGTTATGAGCAAATTAATTGTTACCATATCAAATATTTGATCTCTCTTATAAGCTTAGAATCTATTTCGCCACTTAATTTTACAGAACTGCAGCTACTCTTGGTGTCCTGAGCCACATGGCTGCTTTAAGACCCGACACGAACACGCCCTGTATTTGCTGGCTCCTAACAATGCGCTGAGGAGGGTGTGTCATCATTTGATGGCCCAGCAGTGGTTCGACAATACCGTGCTCTTCTTTATTGCTCTTAACTGTATAACCTTAGCCATGGAGCGACCCAACATACCCCCGGACAGTGTTGTAAGTGTCGCAAAATACATGTACTTATTGATTAAGTCATTTCACTACATACAGCCAAATATATAGTGTCCATAGCTACAGGTCAATCAATTCATAAAACAATAAACACATAAGTTACATTGTTATCTGTAATTCAATTTTTGTTTTTTACAGGAAAGAGAATTCTTGAATTATTCCAATTACGTGTTTACTTGTGTGTTCACTGTGGAAATGATGATAAAGGTAGGTTTAAACAGCTCAGTACATTATTAATATTAAAGTGTTGTTTATTAAGCAGAACAGAGAATACAAAATGTATAAAAGCTTTGGCGTATTAATTTACACAAGGATTTGTGGCTTACAAAGAAACTCTACAGAGTACCCATACAAGTTCAAAGAGTAAAATCATAAATCTTGAACTAAAATTAAAGTGATGGCACTGAAAAGCTTAAGAAATTTAATCAACAATGAACATGCAAAATTATTTTAAATTTAAACCCAAACTTTAAGAGAACCTGTGATGAATTCTTACAGGTGTTAGCTAAAGGCCTGGTGATAGGACAGCACGCGTACCTGAAGAGTGGCTGGAACGTCATGGACGGTTTTCTCGTAGTTATCTCCCTTGTGGACATACTTATCTCCATCTCCGCTGATAGCAGCCCAAGAATTTTTGGAATTTTAAGAGTTTTTAGACTTCTTCGAACTCTGCGACCACTCAGGTAGTTAAGTATATAACTGTCATTTAACTTCATACAAAATGGAGGCATCTTGTGTTAAGATTACGGTATCTGTACTGATGCTACAAACAACAGAGTACTCATTATATCTACGTATTTGTTTCAGAGTTATTAGCCGAGCCCCGGGCCTGAAGCTTGTTGTACAAACTTTATTATCTTCCCTTCGACCAATTGGAAACATTGTTCTTATTTGCTGCACATTTTTCATTATATTTGGCATTCTAGGAGTTCAGGTAATTCTGTAGTGCATATAAAAAAAAATAAGAAGAAGACAACTGCTATCAAGTTTTAAAATATTACTTTCTTTTACAATGAATTGTTTTAAATGGTACATTTTTAAGATTGAACTGTCTTTAATTAAATTTTTCTTTTATCAGCTGTTTTAATGGGACACTTTATTACTGTTATAGTAAAGGATCTAATGTAGGACTGTGCTGTCGTTAATTTATTGTATACCTTTCCTTTTTAGCTGTTTAAGGGGACATTTTATTATTGTAAAGGCCCTAATGTCCAAAACATCAAGAACAAGACACAGTGTTTGACTGAAGACAAGAAAAATGTCTGGATCAACCAGAAGTACAATTTTGATGATCTTGGACAGGTAAATCTTACTTAATTGGAGCATTTATTAATTACTGTAAACCAACTTTTATTCATGTGCGAGAAATATGCACAAGTTTTGTGACTTTCTTTTACTTGGGAAGATTTGTCGCTGTGAACTATTTATTTCATTGCATTTTTCTGTAGAATAATCCTCATTTGCGAAAATTATTTGATGCAGATAGATTTAAAACTTACATATGGCAAATAAAAGTTGTCGCCAATAAAAGTTGGTGTACAGTAAGCCTTGATCATGGAAAAGGGGAGGGGTATATGATTTATCTCCCTTTAAGCATTTTGGATCTTGTCCAGTGATTAGTGTTTTGTACACTGTATTATTGTTGTATTTCAGGCTTTGATGGCCCTGTTTGTTCTGGCATCTAAGGATGGTTGGGTCAGTATCATGTACACAGGTCTGGATGCAGTCGGCGTAGACCAGCAGGTTTGTGTTGTAACATCAAAATTATTAATCAACACAGAATTTATACTGGGTTTTGAAAATATCATTTTAAAGCATTTGTTGGTTAAAAATTGGTTGGTTAATTTTTTTATTTTTAATTAATATTCTATGAACTGAGGTTGTGGGGTTTTAATTTAATTTTTTTTTATAGCCGATAGAAAACTACAGTGAATGGCGACTGCTTTACTTCATCTCCTTCCTGCTTTTGGTCGGATTCTTTGTTCTCAACATGTTTGTGGGCGTTGTGGTAGAAAACTTTCACAAGTGTCGACAGGATCAGGAAATAGAAGAACGAGAACGTCGTACTGCAAAACGGAAACATAAAATGGAGCAGAAAAAAAAGAGTGAGAGTAAAACGGAGACAGGTATCAGAGTCTGGCATACGCACTGTTGTCTTTTTGCTTTGGAGAGGTGGATCCACAGAATACAGGGGTGGATATCAATTTAAAATTGAGCACATTTTAGCATTAAGATCTAAGTTTTGTAGTGAAGTAATGGCGTGTATTCTATGGATCCAGCATCATGTTAAATGTTTCATTGATAAATAAACACCTATATTGATTTGTAGATAAATCTATATTTTAAAACAGGAGAAAGAAAAAGCATATGAATCCAAGAACCACGTACTTTTCAGTACTGAAATAAAATATAAATTTTTAGACAAATAATTATCTATTCACACAAATTTGAAATGCACAATAATAAACTTATGGTAAGTGTTCAGTTAAATAGCTTTGCATGTTTAAATATGGACTTAGTAGTTTTGCTTCAGGAGTTTGAAAAGAACTATTGCTAAACTTTTAATTAATTACGTAAGTATAACCTCTGTTTGATTTTTTTTTCATGGATATAAAGTTCATTATCAAGTAGACTTCAGTAGATGCATTTTTATCAAACAGTGTCTATTTTTAGTAGTTTATGCATGAGTAGAGGATAATCTGTCTGCGATGGTTGACTTCTGTAGACTAGACGTGGAATATTTTGCTTGTGGTTTTTAGTTTGCACACAGAAGCCAGACTCGATATCATTATGTAAACTAAATCATCTGTGTTGTCTCAATCAGTTCTTTATGGTTTTTTTCTCTTTTTTAACCTTTAATCTTTAAACAGCACTTTTAGCCAAGATGAAAATCTTAAGTGTAACATTTGTTGGCAACATCAAAAGTTGACAGTCAGTTTATGACAATTAAAGCTAATCCGAGACATCAGCTAAGTTTTTGATTAAGAGTGCCTCAGATAGCACTGGGTTTCCTGTTATATTAAATTACATTACATTATGTATTACACTGTGCACATAATATAGCTTGGAATTTGCTTAATTCCTTGTTAGAGATGAATGCTGTGGCATTTTTTATGGTAAACTGAATGAAGCTTTATATGAAAGTCATGGAATTGTGGAAAGGTAGAAAACTGGACTGTATTATTAGCAGAATTAATGATCAGATAAGCACCCAACCTTGTAATACTCATTTTATTATTTCTTTTTGTTTTCAGAGCTAAATCGACCCCCATACTGGGCAGATTACTCCGCAAGTCGACTAATTATACACCAGGTTGTTAACAGCAAATACTTTGACCTTGCTATTGCTATGGTTATAGGGTTAAATGTCATCACCATGGCAATGGAATACTACATGATGCCAGCGGTAATACTTTGTTTACACAGATTTTTTTTCGTATTTGTTTTTTCTTTTTAATAGTTTTCTCTCAACGATTACTATAATTTCTATTACAGAAACTAGAGTTTGGTTTTTATTCTTTTTAATAGTTTTTCTCTTAACTGTTACTATTATTTCTATCACAGGAACTAGAGTTTGCCCTGAAGATCTTCAACTATTTTTTTACAAGTGTGTTTATTATTGAGGCCTCACTGAAGATTTTAGCTCTGGGCCTGGTACGATACATCAAAGACAGGTAAGGGGGAGATAAATCATGGTTATAAGAATACCGTTCCACATAATGACACTGCAACAGAGCAGCTCTTTGAGATTTTAAGGTCTGAAATGCTAAATGTCAAAATACAGTAGAATTGTTGAATATTTATTGTTAATTCACTCCTTAATTTGTAAAATAATCGAAAATAAGACATGGTGGTAATTTCATTATTTTAGCTTTAATAGAGGATAAGACTGTTTTGTACCTTTTAAATATTGCTGTTATTATGAAAAAGTAATCTCTAGGGATACAGAATATTTGACAGAATCTCATCTGTATGTTACTTTTTTTTTTTCAATATGCTTCTGTAGCAGGTAACAGGAGATTTTCACGACTGAATTATTTTGGCTTACCTCACTGATGAACATTTTGATTATTCTCTCTTTTTTTTAAATCAAATTTCAGATTTTTTTAACATACTAATTTTTCCTCTGCACTCATGTTACTTTACTGTATGGAGTCTTTAAGAACACACTATTTAAATTTTTTTAAAAAACAAGGTTTTAAAAAAAAAAATCAGTGTTTTTTGTTTCAATTTCATTTTTAGTAATCAGTCTATTGCTGACATAAAAAGATAATATGTTGTCTCCATTTTGAGTGGAATGTGAAGTTTTAAAAAAAAGAGCAAGTCAAACTTGGCACATACTAGAAATACAAGTATTCCCTCATGACATGTAATAAATCAATATTAATAAGAAATGAGTTGCACGTACAACTGGTCTCCTTCACTGCATGTAATAAATCCTTAGTCTGATATGTTGTTTAACTAGCAAATACTTATATATTCTTCTTTTTTATGACTCATCAATTTTCTACTGGAGTATTTAAAAAGTTTACATTCTCACAATAGGTGTGTGTTTTAATGATACACAATCAATTTTCAATTTGCCTATATCTTGTTCACTATTTTTTTCTTCTCTGTTTCCAAACTTTTTTTAGAAAAAATAAAAAACAAAGCAAAATTATAATTTTTCAAGTAAATAATATAAAATTTTTAATTTTCGAAATACATATAGAATTATTTTCTTCCATTGGCTTGACCCAACATGTCTTATTACTTCCCTTGATAGGACAAGTTATTCCTGCATTCTGATTGGTTGTATTCATATTGTAGGTGGAACCAGCTTGACATGTTTATAGTAATTCTGTCTATTGTTGGGATCATTCTGGAGGAGATGAAAACAAACGTAATCCCAATCAACCCTACCATTATCAGGGTCATGAGAGTGCTTAGAATTGCAAGAGGTAAGTTAGCAAGGTGAAAAGGTGTGGATATTGGTACAATCACAGAGTTACATTATATAACTACCGTATACCTTGTAATGATTATATATTTTAAAGCATATTAAAGGTCATGCATCACTACACATTTGTAAGATTATACTGATAAATAATTAGTATAATAACAATAAACTTTCTCTCTCAGTGTTAAAGCTGTTGAAGATGGCGAAGGGAATCCGTGCACTGCTGGATACAGTAATTCAGGCTTTGCCGCAGGTCGGCAATCTCGCCCTACTTTTCTTCCTTCTCTTCTTCATCTTTGCGGCCCTCGGAGTCGAACTGTTTGGAAGATTAGGTAAAAATGCTGCTATTATGACATGCTTCAATAAGCTCATATTGACCTCTTGCGAGAGATGTGCATGTCTGTTTTAACTATTAAATTTCTGACTATTAAATTTCTGTTGAGAGATTCAGAGTAAATAGAAGTTAACAGCAGATTGCTGGAGACAGATTCAATTGTTTTATTAGATCATGGTGTGTGATCTGTAATATTTGTATGTGTTCAATTATATTTTTTTCAGAATGCTCTGAGGCCCACCCATGTGAGGGGTTGGGAGAACACGCCCACTTTAAGGACTTTGGGATGGCATTTCTGACCTTGTTTAGAGTAGCCACTGGCGACAACTGGAATGGAATTATGAAGGTCAGTTTTCTTTTAAACTTCTCACTGGGTAAAAAGTGAAACATAAAATATGTGAATTTTACTATGCCAAGGTAAAATGTATGTCCTCATAAAGAGATTGTAGAGAAAATTATCACTAGGATTGGCCCTATGGTTAGCTTTGGTATCACAGGCACGGGTAATTTTGCACAAAGTTATTGTACATACAATGTAAACATGCAGTGTGATCTCCCTGTAGTTGTGTCACCGGGTTCACAGGTGCGTGAAAGTCAGTCAATATATCGGGTCTCAGTAGCTCAGTGGTTAGAGCGCTGGCACGGAACGCCAGAGGCCCTGGGTTCGAGTCCCAGTTGAGACTTGATTTTTCACCACCTGTGACATTTGGCGCCCCACGTTGGGCACGTTGGGCAAATGTCAGAGGTGGTGAAAAATCAAGTCTCAACTGGGACTCGAACCCAGGGCCTCTGGCGTTCCGTGCCAGTGCTCTAACCACTGAGCTACTGAGACCCGATATATTGACTGACTTTCACGCACCTGTGAACCCGGTGACAGTTGAATACACAGTTTCCTTCCCTTATTTGCTCTCTGATTGTTGGCTACATAAAACATAAAGAACTCAGTATTGTGCATTAATTAATTAATTAATTAATTACATTTCCTGGGACTGACATACTTTAAAGTATGTCGGAAATTTGCCTTTATGTGGAACATATAACATTTACAATACACAATTGACCAAATGTATTACAGGGTTATATTTCAGACGCATTCAAGAAAATGTCATATTAAGTTATTTTTCAAAAAAGAAAAGTCAATAATTTTAACTTGGATGTCTTTGTTTTAACCTTGAGGACCTAATGTTTTATTTTTGTCTGTAGGACACCCTTCGTGATGATTGCGACTCCTCGGAGAAATGTCTGACAAACTGCTGCGTCAGTACGTTTATTGCCCCCGTCTTCTTTGTGGTGTTTGTCCTGATGGCTCAGTTTGTTCTTGTAAACGTGGTGGTGGCCGTCCTCATGAAACATTTAGAGGTATGACAAATTTTATCAATCGTCTTACAGATTTTTGCCGTGGGATTTTAATATTTCCTCTTTTTACAACCTTAATCACCATATCTAGAGATGAGGTCAATTCTCTGTCTAAAAATTCAGAATATTTAATGCTTGATAGAAAGGAAGTTTTTTAGACATATTCACGATGAATTGACATTATCTACAAGTTGATTCAAACTGAAATCACAGATGTTATATTTCTTCTTTGCCTTCATACACAAGACCCATTTTAAAACTAATATCAATTTAAAAAAAAAAAAAAAAAAAAAAACTATTTTGCACCAGTTGCCAGTTTATATCTTTAAGCACTTTTGATATTACACTTATGCATTTTTTATTTGATTTTTATTTATATTCTTTAAACATTTGAATGATCCCAGGAATTTTTAATTTATGACATTAAAACATGTCAGCCGTAAACATTAATTACTCAAGGTCGCCGTACTTAAAGATCCCATAATCTTAGATTATGACTTTTATTGCTAATTTTCTTCAAGAAATTAGTACTAAATTATAATTTAAGATCTGAAAATTAACATTAGTAGTCTACTCTACATTTCAAAGTTGTGCATCTTATTTCTTGTCGATGTGGCGAATCAAGTTCAAATTTAAATATCTGACTAACAATTTTGCATGTGGATATTTTTCTCTACTAATCGTGATCAATTCAGGAAACATACAAACATAAGGAGATCGATGATGAACTCGAGGCAGCGTTCAAGATGGAGTGTAGCGTCAATAACGAGATGCTACGGTTAACCGTGAAGGTGAGGGGGGCGTGTCTAGCTTGACGAATATTGCATGCTCCCTTCCCTGTTTTAAATGTTGTTAGTACATTCTGATTGTCTTGTACTAGCTTGTATTTTAATTTTTATTTTGTGATATATTATATCTAGGATTCTATCTTTTTTTGCAGATAGAGTGAAAACCAGATTTTGACAAATGAATCGTTCACTTTCAGTTTTCATCAGTGATCAGTATTTGCTGTCTAACAACAAATTCAATGCTTTTTTCAGTCTTGGAAATTGAGTAAACTAGGCATTCAGAATGAATGCTGTAGAATTATATTTCATAGACAGCAGACTCTGAATCCTTGTTTTAATGATCATGTGTAGTAATTATGTTATCTTGTAATCTGTAGTTGTCCATTAATTACCGACAGAGAACAGCTTATTACACAGGTCGTAGTCTATAGTCAGCCATTCAGTTCTTTTCAGTTGCTGTTATTTGTGAGGAAACCTATTTCATTTGTGAAAAAAGGAGAACATTTCTATTGTTTTTATTTTTTGAGAAAAAAAATTGTTTTTGTATATGTAATTATCATAAATTATGTGTTAAGTTCAAGCAGCCATACATGTTAAATATAATAATTTTATCACACAGTATTTGAAATTATCTCTCAGTGGACAAAATCTGACCTTGGAATTTGACCTTGTGAGGAAAATTTTGTTTGTTATATTGGATGTTGCTATTTAATTTTTGGATGTTGCTTTTTGACCAGGAGTCGCACAGATTACTGGATGATGACGGAGGAAATGCTGACGATCAGGATAAGACTGGTGACGAGGACGGTGAGGAAGAAGATGGGGAAGATGTGGATGGCAATGCCGCTATCAAAGAGGAGGAGGTTAGAAATTCAGATTCGTTCTTGTCCTCCGCTTTCGCAAAAGGGGACAATGAATCTTACTCATCTGTCAGTCTGACCATCTGTCACAAAAACTTTAACCTGAGTCATTTTGATTGAGAAAAGATATGGCTTTCATATTTCACATGTGCATTACCTGTAACAAGACCTAATATGCTATGATTTTGACTCTGTTACCTTGACTTTGAAGTTTGACTTACTTTTCAAAAATTGTACCATTGCTGATAACTTTTGAATATCAGAGAGAAGATAGGGTGTATTAGAATGTGCATAACCTTTACCTGAATGTACTATGATTTTTGCCCATGTAGGTGTGACCCTGACCTACTTTTCAAATATTCTAACATAGGAATATATAGGAAAAATCTTTTAAAATCTTCTTTCAAGGACAGTATAGCCTCGATTATGCATATTTTATATTGATGCATCCTCAATTAGGTCAGATTTTAGTTGATCGAATCATGAGATATATATAAATAGGAGAAAATCTTGCATCCTCAATTAGTGTAGATTTGGGAGGGGGGGGGGGGGGGGGGAGGAAGCAGGAGTACTGATATATTTAAACTATTCAATACTGAACTGATTTCTTATTTTCTCAAGCCAAAGTAGCAATATGCCCCATGGGCCTCTTGTTACTTAAATATAAACATTGACATCTGAATCTCACGAATTAATTCAATATACCCGGTAGAAGATATAAATTAAACTAAGAATTTCTATGTTGTATTTGTTCTAGGTGCCTGCTATAATTGGGACCCCAAGGCCTGCATTCCCTCGTAGACTACGTACCCCGGTCTGTAAACAGATTTCTTTACCTCCCAGCTTTACTTTCCGACCTCCGAGTAATGAACCTCCATATGAAGATGACAAAGGTACTGACTGTTCTCAGAGTTTTATTATTAAGGACACCCAATGAATAAATAATAATAAGTCTACTATTCCTTGGTCATTTCATTACTTTGCTTCAAGTTTGGTAAGTAATACAATTTATAATGATTGGCTACCATTCCACAGTTACTTATTAGATGATTAAAACATCACAATGTAATGGATGTTCCTATTAAATTCTTTACAGCAACTTTTGCTTTTAAAGGAAATATGCAAAATGGATCAACAGTATGTTGTAATTTTGGTTGGCATATTGAAGTAAAATTGATGGAGTAAAGGCATAGGTTCTTTGTAGTAACACTGGTATTGTCAGAAATAGCCTATTTCAAATTCCCACTTTTTAAGCACTATGTCCTTGTTACAGGTCAGTTAGTTCCAGTGGACATCACAATCTCTAATTATGGAAGTTCTATGGAGGTCAGTCTTGATATGTCTGGATCCAGTCTGGACATCCCTCCCTCCCCATACTCCTCCAGTTACTCTGATAATTCCAGTTATGCCGAACCCACAGTGGATGAGAATACATTAGGCATTCCACGAATGACAGAGGAATCTCATAGAAAATCCACCAGTCCACAGCAAAAACAACGATTAAGGGACAGAAAGTTAGTACGACAGAAAAGTTGTGAATACGAAAGTCCCCCTGCCACAGCACATGTGGAGCCGATACGGACTCCTAATATAGCTCGCTGTGAGGCAGCAAGCTGTGATAATCCAGTGTCAATGTCACAGCCCATGCTTAACAAGAATTTATATGAGCATGGTGAGGAAGGCTCAAAAGTGAACAAGTCACACAATCCCATCATCAAACTGAAGTGTTTACATCGGAGTCAGAGTAGTGGTTCAGAGAAAGTTAGGCTGAGGGAGAAACACGTGGCAGGTGCTCGAGTTCAAATGAGACCTACCACTCTTCATGCTCTAGTGAATGCTTTATCGAATTACTCACAAGAACAGAACTCTCTAACCTTGCCAAATGTTCAAGTGACACAGAATTCTCCTGTGATATGTAGGAAAAAACAAGGTCAGCATCGTAAACGAGAGGGGACTCAAGTGCCCTCCCCAAACCCCACTCTTCCTCACAGAAATTCCAGTTCTAAACAAAGTCTGGTCAAGCGGAGTAGCACCTATGAGTCTGATTCCTGTGAACTCTCTGGCCCCGACTGGGCAGCCGAGGAGGCGGCCTGTGACGAGGAGGTCCGTCTAATCACGGGTGACAGTACGGACCACGACGACATCGAGGACTTAGAGTGTGAAGAGGTGACCTCCAGTTATCCCTTAGTTAACGACCACCTCAGTAATCAGAGTGGGGATCACCTCAGTATAGGAAATTCCAGTAACTCTCAAGACACTCTGGTCTGTGATGATCAACATTCTAGAACCCAGAGAAAAAGTTATGAGTGTTGTGTGCCGTGTGAAAGTGCATCATCTATTCCTAACTCCCCCTCCCAAGCCCAGATCTCAGTGCCTTCCCTAGACCCCTGTGTGTTAGTTAACCCCCCTTCTCCTGACAAGAAATCTCGTAGAATCAGTTTGAATAGTGACAGTAAGGAGAGCCAGAGTAGTGATACAGACCTCTCAGGGGCCGAATGTCCCTATGATTCAGAGGAACCCATGTTAGACAACTCAGGGGACTTAACTCCTGTTACAGCCAACTCGGGGGCGTGTCTCAATGTTCCTGTGATAACATCTGATGACTCTTGTGTCAGAAGGCGGACTCCAAACTTAGTACAGCAGACAAGTGAGTCCTGACGGTCATAGGTGAAGGGTAAAAGGTCACTAGAATCAGGATCTGGGTGTTGACACATTAATGAGGGGTACCCCTCAGAAGTTTTGTTCTCCAGTAGAGGGCAGCACGTTCTAAAGACTTGTGATGATTTTGATGGATGGAATTCACGTACTTGTTTTATTTTTATGTTTGTCCCGTTTCCTGCATGGCTTGCCTGTCTAACAGAGCAGATGAGAGTTTTCTCCCTTTGTATATCTTGAACATTTTATAAATTCAGGTCATTATAAATGAATAGAATGAAAGTTGTAAAAAATTAATGAAAGTGTTTTATATAATCTTAATGAAAGAATCTGGGTGTTCAATGAAATCATTTAGAAATTACATATGTTTTATGAACTGGTATTATGGATTGCAGATGACGAGTTTAGGGAGTATAAAAGTTTCATGTGGTGTAAATATTTTGTGGTATGACATACATGACTAGAGCTTCATTGTTAACATTTTTTTAACTTGTGAAGAACTAATTCAAAAGCAACAGAAAAAAGCCAAATCCTTTTAATGTATATCCATCTGTGACCAATGCAACATTGATGTAAATGTCAGGAGTGATCTTTTATGTGTGAGTGACAGTTTTACTTCAAATGTTTCCACATATCATTTGTTTTAATGTATTCATGACCTCCATATATTTGTGATGTTATGAACAATATCATTGTGATTAAAGCTTTCTCATAGATCTCATACCTTGTACCACCTTCAGGTCTGTCTGTGAATTTAATCTTATTTTCATTTCCAACTAAACTTCAGGTTTTCTAGAAAATATTTTAAATTTTTTTATGTCATGATTATATACCATGCATGGCAATGGTTCCATTGCACTATGATTTGGTCTTGACGATGAAGTGAAAAAACTTCATCATATGTAAATTCTTTTCACCATGAAATATTTATATAATGAAATTAATTTATGTCTTAAGTACAGCTGTACTTAAAATTTTAAACTTAAATTTTCACATTATGAATAATCTCAACTTTTACAAATATCAATCAGAATTTTAGATTAATATTTATTTATAAATGACTTGGGTTAAGTGCAATATTGGTGATTTTGTAATAGAGTTCTATAATAACTTGATGTGATATTTTTTCAACGAAGGTGGTTGTTGCCATATTGAAGAAAATGATTTTTATACCGATGTGATCCCTTTTTTTGTTTAACAATACTGAACTTTAAGACTTGTTTATGTAATCTATTGTATCACATAGACTTGTTTGACTTGCACTTATAATTTCTGACTTACTTGACTTGTAAATGTTATCTCTATTATATTGACCTGACTGAACTGACTTGTACATCAAATCTCTATTACATTTACCTGATTGACTTTTACATGTAATCTCAATTACGTTGACCTAATTGACTTGTATATGTAATCTCTATTACATTGACCTGATTGACTTGTATATGTAATCTCTATTACACTGACCTGATTGACTTGTATATGTAATCTCTATTAGACTTACCTGATTGACTTGTATATGTAATCTCTATTACACTGACCTGATTGACTTGTACATGTAATCTCAATTATGTTGACCTGATTGACTTGTACATGTAAGCTCAATTATGTTGACCTAATTGTATATGTAATCTCTATTACATTGACCTGATTGACTTGTACATGTAATCCTTATTACACTGACCTAATTGACTTGTATATGTAATCTCTATTACATTGACCTGATTGACTTGTACATCAAATCTCTATTACATTGACCTGATTGACTTGTATATGTAATCTCTATTACATTGACCTGATTGACTTGTACATGTAATCTCTATTTCACTGACCTGATTGACTTGTATATGTAATCTCTATTACATTGGCCTGATTGACTTGTATATGTAATCTCTATTACACTGACCTGATTGACTTGTATATGTAATCTCTATTACATTGGCCTGATTGACTTGTAATCTTTATTACATTGGCCTGTTGACTTGTACATCTAACCTCTATTACATTGAAAGTTTGACTTGTATAAGTGATCTTTATAATATAAATTTGTTCAATTAATTGCACTCTCTTACATTGACCTGATCCACTTATAATGTAATCTCCCTAGTACACAAGACTAATATTTGTTCTATTACATTGACCTGATTGACTTGTAGATGTAATTTTTTTTAGCAATGCTCCGTTTCGAAAAACTGGCCATTCACTGACTCATACATGTCAATTCTTTATATACATTTATGTACATATCATATCTTTTAGTAATAAATATGATCTTAAATACTACATTACATTTTTTGCCCATCAATTTAACAAATTTAATGCTTTTTACCAGATTTGTACTTATTTTTTTTTACATAATCTTTTCTTTTTATTTATTTTTAAAACAGGAAACAGACCTTCTAAACATTGAAGAGATATGTTTCACAGAAATTTTACCAATTAATCTCGGAATGACTACTGGCGTAAATAATATAAAAATCCTTTAGCAGTTGAATTCTTTTCATGCAATACCCTTATAGCAGACTAATCTATAAGTCAGTTAATTCATTATTTCCTTATTCCGACAACATGACATGCATGTGATGCCTGATTATAATGCGTGAAAGATGGTGTAGTGATATGAATTATTTTTGTCTTCACTAGCTCAGGTAGTTAGGTCACCTTTTGAATGGTGTTTTTATAAGAAATCCTGCGACAGATTCATTGTGTACAGACAGTTCTCTTTTGTAATGTTTTTTTTTTGTTTGTTTTATCACATTTTGTGTATATTTAGACATTCACGAATTGATAAAAATTAAAAATGGATTTTAAATCATACCATGATCTTTTCTTTTTATTGATTGAATATATGTTGATACCGCTGAATTTTAATACTTGAAAATCAGTGGCTATGTATTCCTTGTTTGCAAAATTTTTGTTCAGGCAGAACAATGTGTCAGTCTTATCTTTTCAAAGTTCATACAGTGTAATAAGCCTGGATCCAAATCTGTGAGCCAATGCTCACTAGTAATACCCCCACTCTGATGTGAATATACGATCTCATGAATCCCACTATATGGCATGCCTAAATAATGAGTGTGCTAAAACTTCAAGCATCAGCAATGAGTAGTTGCTGAGAAAACTGCTACCAAAATAGACAGACACATGGATAAACAGGAAATTGACATCAGATTTGTACAAAAATGAATCCCACCATATGGCATGCCTGGACAAAGAGTGTGCTAAAATTTCAAGCATCTGCGATAAGTAGTTGCTGAGAAAACAGCGATGAAAATTTGTTGAGGACAGACACACACACAAGGGTAAAACAGTATACCCCCCCACTCCTTCAGAGCGGGGGTATAATTATCCAAATGCCTTCCAGAAGAAATTTATAGGGAACAGAATTTATATTGTTAAAAAAGGTGTGTTTGTAAAACACTGATGCCCCCTTATGGCAGCTCAAGGCTAAGGTTAAAGTTTTTCAAATGTAGGTCAAACTCCAAGGTCAAGAGTTCAAAAATGTTGGAACATGAAAGAAAGGTCTTGTCACAAGGAATACACAAAAATATGAAAGCCCTAGCATCAACCATTTTAAGTTAAAGTTTTTTTCAAAGTAGGTCATATCCAAGGTCAAAAATCTTTGTCCAAGATCAAAAATGTTGAAAGTTAAGAAAAGGTCTCGTCACAAGAAATACACAAATGTAATATGAAAGTCCTATCACCAACTGTTTACAAGTTATGGCAAGGTTAGATTTTTTTAAATGTAGGTTACACTCCAAGGTCAAGAGGTCAAATACACTGTAGGTCTTGTCACAAGGAATACACGTGATATATGAAAGCCTTTGCACCAACCATTCAAAAGTTATGGCCAAGGTAAAACCGGTCGGGAACTCTACCTTATATGGAAGGCATTTTTCATCACGTGGCGATGTTTTCGTCAAACCCATTCTCCAATCAATTGAATGAGTCGCAAAGCATGACGGTCTACTACGTTTACGATTTAATAGCAAATTGTTGTTTTCGTTGTTTTAAATAGTGCATAATATTTATTTGGTCACCAGAAAAACTGTATAGCTTCTTTTTCATTTTATATGGATGAAATTAAAAGATTTATAATATACCAAAGACAATGTTCCATGCTCACATTAAAATTGGAGTTGTTTTAGATGATTAATAGTTGCGTCAAATGCAGTCTAAAGTCTTTGACGTCTGCATACATTAAATACATTTTGAAGATAATGATGAGTAAAACAAATGAGTAAATGAGTAAAACAAATATTGCACACTGGTTTACTGATGTTAAAATCAAAGAAAAATATCTTAAATACAAGCTATTATTTTCGACATACATGCAATAGATATATGTTGATGCACAAATGCACTCAAAGACAGAAAAATACGATTTTCTTCTTGTCTGTAAACAAAAAACATGTCAGATTTTTCCATTCCTTCACGCCTTGTTCTCTTCAAAAATCAAAAAGGAAGCATATTTAGTCCCAAATGAATACCAATTTGGAAAGGGTATTGGAATATGTGTATTATTATTACCAAGAAAAAGGCTTTATACATGTATTCTAAGCATTTTGAAAATAACTGTAAAGATACATAAAGGCTCATTCTGTCAATTGATGTCTTCTTTGCTCTCTATAAACAACGTGAAAAACACACTCACTGCTAATTATACACATTAGCACTTACAAATGTACCTCTCTTTGAAGATGGTTTACGTCGGTATTTAAACAAGCTCATATTAGGCTTGACAAACCAAATTTTGTAAATGTGAGCATTGAAATGAAAGACAATACACCATTTTCAATACTTATTTCATAAATATTGAAATAGAATGGAAAATGAGTTTTCAAGGGACAATAAAAATTGCTGTTCATTTTTAATACACTGTGTTTGTTCTAAAAACTTGTGGTAGCCCATAATGCATTGTAACTCATTCATCTGATTAGTAATTGAAAGTAAACAGGTAGCTAATTTAACATGCAAAATGCTATCATCATAAAAGGATTATATTCGGTAATGACCAAAATCTGCCCCCCAAATCAAACTTTAAGGGAGAAATATATAATTATGTTCTAAAACAGGGGGATATCTGCAGACTTCAAAGCACTAAATATTTTCATAAACCATGATGCCATATGTTAAATATGACGTCTGGAAAATGACGTAAATTCAAAATTTTCTATGATTTATACAGAAAAAGGTGTATATTACGTCGATATTTTGAATAAAAGTCACCGAGCGCAGGTCTGCTCCAACTGAAAATTTTGATATTATGTGTAGAATGATGATACCGGTATCAATGAAATATACAAATATTGTTCTGGAGCAGGCCTGCGCTCTATAAATTTTATGGTAAAAATTGAACAAATTTTGTCCATTTTTTTCCTTTTTCTGAAAAATAACACAAAATCCGAATAGTTTGTGACGTCATAGAAACAAAAATTGCCAATAACCCACTTTGAAACTATAATATATTTTGTTAATTTATTTTTCCCATACAATACAATGTATATACAATTTAGCACATTTCAAGACATTTTCAAAGTATGACTTTTTTTTGGGGGGGGGGGGGGGCAAAAATATGCATATTCCGCATATAGTTCTTTAGTGGTCTCAACCTGTTAAAGTTTTTCAAAAGTTGGTCAAACTCAAAGGTCAAGGTAAAAAATGTTGGTACCCAAAGAAAGTTCTGGTCACACGGAATAACCACGAAATATAAAAGCCCAAGCACCAACTGTTCAAAAGTTATGTCAAAGGTTAGAGCTTGGTAATATTGTGCAAATGTGGGTTAAACTTCAAGCTAAAGACGTTCAATGTTGATACCCAAAGAATGGTCTCGTCAATTAATATGAAACCATAGCACCAACCATTCAAAAGTTATGGGCAAGGTTAAAGTTTTTGCTGATGGACAGACAGATGGACAGACAGAGCAAAAACTATATGCCCCCAAATCTTCGATTATGTCAGTAATCCTGATGCTTAATCTTCACAGTTTGCTTGGGAACACAAGCGTCCAGATACCCTAGGCCCCACAGTACATAGTATACATGTGTGTGGAACAGCTGGAGAGGAGCACCGTTAAGTTGTGTCAATTGTTGAATGGCCTTGTGAAAAGGATAAACTTTACATTTAGAATGTCTGTATAGTGACTTGAAAACCAGTCGGTACTCCTTAGGGGGTGCCAGTGTACCAAGTTTGATGTCTTGTCATGCAGAGGGATAACAAGATATTGAGAGAACAATAATCTCTAAATAATAATTTATGTCCAAAGCAGTTTTTGACCTCTGACCCTGTGACCTCTAGATCAGCAGGGGTTTCCTACTTCTTAGAGGGTTTGACATCTGTCAAGCAAATGTTCTCAAGAAGTTCTGCCCTTGACCTACGACTATATGACCTTGAAATATATAGGGGTCATCTGCTCCTTAGGAGGTACAAGTATATCAAGTTTGATGCTTGTCAAGCACAAGGGTTCTCAAAATATTGAGTGTACAATACTTGGTCGACTGACCAACAATTTGACACTTGACCATTGAAGTGACCTCAGAACTAATATGGTCATCTACTTCTTAAGGGTACCAATGTATCAAGTTTGATATCTGATAAACAAAGGGTTGTAAAGATAATAAGTGTACATCTTCCCATGTCCAGTGTAGTTCGACCGTTGACATTAAAAAAATCAATCCACCAACAGGTGCAAACTAATATCCCCCCTTTCAAATGGGGGGGGGGGGGATAAAATCCATAGCCAATACAGTCTCTCAGTGGGTAGTTGTGTAATACGTAACTGTGATGTACAGAGGAACCTTGATAACTTGGATATTTGTGAGGAACAGGATATATTATCTAAAATTATAAAAAGAACTTATTTATCCATGCCATTTGCTCTGGAACACAAAGGTCTGGATAATGCTCAACTGTATGACAACAGAGCCTGCGTTTCCACAGGAAAATTTAATTTTATCACTGCATACAGCAATTAGTATTCAGGTTAGGTACATGCAGTTTTCGAATGATGTATTTTCCATCCAAGTAATACCCCTTTGACACCATGTTGGTCAAGACTCTATTTGGGGGGGGGGGGGGGATTACAGCTTGAAATTGTAAATAAAGGCTTTGATAAATTTATGTAAATTCCTCGGAAAAAACACAAGCTTTCCTATACCTCAATGACCAGTACAAGCTTGAAAAGATTAAATAATGCAGCAGTCTGAACTTGTAGACTTCCAATATTGTGGCCAATGGCAATTACTCTTGCTAAATTCACTTACTGAAAACCATCTTTCAGAATAGCTGCAGTACTGTAGCTCTCCAAAAAAAAAAATATTGACAGCTAGACTGGAGAGCTACAGTGCCATCCACAGAGCTACAGTACTAACCTGGTCTAAACCACAGAAAAAACTGTATATTTATTGCACATAAAAAGTTGCACTTGGTTCTGGATTTATTTATAAACCAAATTCTTACCTCAAGTGCACAAAAGCTTGATTTAAAAAAAAATTCCTTAAACCTTTATCAACTACCGGTACTCCTGTAGTTGACATCTGCACCAAGTGCATTGGGCTGAATTGTCTTGCCACCTAAAATGGCAGTATAAACAGACGAAATTTTGGACGGTCTTAATTTCAGGCCCCGGAGGGCTTTTAACAATGGTTATAGGTAATGTTAGTGAAAGAATTTCTTAGGAACACACGCTTAGTAATATTTGAGATTGCAGTTTTTAAAATTTACTGAGAAATATTTACATTTCCAATGTCTTTGTCCGAGATAAAATTACAAATTGTAAAAATACTCTATTTCTACATAAATCTACTGGTTCATCGATA